GGGTTCATAATGACCAGGTCACAGACTCTGGGAACCTGGGTTCAATCCCTGGGTCTCAGCGGTTCATAATGACCAGGTCACAGACTCTGAGAACCTGGGTTCAATCCCTGGGTCTCTCAGGGGGTTCTTAATGACCAGGTCACAGACTCTGGGAACCTGGGTTCAATCTCTGGGTCTCTCTCAGGGGGTCCATAATGACCAGGTCACAGACTCTGAGAACCTGGGTTCAATCCCTGGGTCTCTCTCAGCGGGTTCATAATGACCAGGTCACAGACTCTGAGGACCTGGGTTCAATCCCTGGGTCTCTCTCAGGGGGTTCTTAATGACCAGGTCACAGACTCTGAGGACCTGGGTTCAATCCCTGGGTCTCTCTCAGGGGGTTCTTAATGACCAGGTCACAGCCTCTGAGGACCTAGGTTCAATCCCTGGGACTCTCTCAGGGTGTTCATAATGACCAGGTCACAGACTCTGGGTACCTGGGTTCATTCTCTGGGTCTCTCTCAGGGGGTTCATAATGACCAGGTCACAGACTCTGCGAACCTGGGTTCAATCCCTGGGTCTCTCAGGGGGTTCATAATGACCAGGTCACAGACTCTGGGAACCTGGGTTCAATCCCTGGGTCTCTCAGGGGGTTCATAATGACCAGGTCACAGACTCTGGGAACCTGGGTTCAATCTCTGAGTCTCTCTCAGGGGGTTCTTAATAGCCAGGTCACAGACGCTGAGGACATGGGTTCAATCCCTGGGTCTCTTTCAGGGGGTTCATAATGACCAGGTCACAGACTCTGAGGACCTGGGTTCAATCTCTGGGTCTCTCTCAGGTGGTTCTTAATGACCAGGTCACAGACTCTGAGAACCTGGGTTCAATCTCTGGGTCTCAGCGGTTCATAATGACCAGGTCACAGACCCTGAGGACCTGGGTTCAATCCCTGGGTCTCTCTCAGGGGGTTCATAATGACCAGGTCACAGACTCTGGGAACCTGGGTTCAATCTCTGGGTCTCTCTCAGGGAGTTCATAATGACCAGGTCACAGACTCTGAGAACCTGGGTTCAATCCCTGGGTCTCTCTCATGAGGTTCATAATGACCAGGTCACAGACTCTGGGAACCTGGGTTCAATCCCTGGGTCTCTCTCAGGGGGTTCATAATGACCAGGTCACAGACTCTGGGGACCTGGGTTCAATCCCTGGGTCTCTCTCAGGGGGTTCTTAATGACCAGGTCACAGACTCTGGGAACCTGGGTTCAATCCCTGGGTCTCTCTCAGGGGGTTCTTAATGACCAGGTCACAGACTCTGAAGACCTGGGTTCAATCCCTGGGTCTCTCTCAGGGGGTTCATAATGACCAGGTCACAGACTCTGAGGACCTGGGTTCAATCCCTGGGTCTCTCTCAGGGGGTTCATAATGACCAGGTCACAGACTCTGGGAACCTGGGTTCAATCTCTGGGTATCTCTCAGGGGGTTCATAATGACCAGGTCACAGACTCTGAGGACCTGGGTTCAATCTCTGGGTCTCAGCGGTTCATAATGACCAGGTCACAGACTCTGAGAACCTGGGTTCAATCCCTGGGTCTCTCTCAGGGGGTTCATAATGACCAGGTCACAGACTCTGGGAACCTGGGTTCAATCTCTGAGTCTCTCTCAGGGGGTTCTTAATAGCCAGGTCACAGACTCTGAGGACATGGGTTCAATCCCTGGGTCTCTCTCAGGGGGTTCATAATGACCAGGTCACAGACTCTGAGGACCTGGGTTCAATCTCTGGGTCTCTCTCAGGTGGTTCTTAATGATCAGGTCACAGACTCTGAGAACCTGGGTTCAATCTCTGGGTCTCAGCGGTTCATAATGACCAGGTCACAGACCCTGAGGACCTGGGTTCAATCCCTGGGTCTCTCTCAGGGGGTTCATAATGACCAGGTCACAGACTCTGGGAACCTGGGTTCAATCTCTGGGTCTCTCTCAGGGAGTTCATAATGACCAGGTCACAGACTCTGAGAACCTGGGTTCAATCCCTGGGTCTCTCTCATGAGGTTCATAATGACCAGGTCACAGACTCTGGGAACCTGGGTTCAATCCCTGGGTCTCTCTCAGGGGGTTCATAATGACCAGGTCACAGACTCTGGGGACCTGGGTTCAATCCCTGGGTCTCTCTCAGGGGGTTCTTAATGACCAGGTCACAGACTCTGGGAACCTGGGTTCAATACCTGGGTCTCTCTCAGGGGGTTCTTAATGACCAGGTCACAGACTCTGAGGTCATAAGAGGGTCGTTGTTGGTACGAGTTTTGGGTACAACGAAAACACAAAACGGCAAACGGTCAGCAACAATAACCCACACGGAACAAAGACACAGGTCCCCCAGGTAGCCTCTAGCAGGGATATTGAGGCAAGTGGTGTTTACACAGGCACCCACTCATTCTTTCACTCATCATTTCCTCACTCACCCATTCACTCACCCGAAGATTCCCCGTGTAGCCTCTAACAGGCTGTAGGGACAAGTGCTGTTAGTAGCGAGTAGCGTCTATACACAGACAAAGATTCCCCGTGTAGCCTCTAACAGGCTGTAGGGGCAAGTGCTGTTAGTAGCGAGTAGCGTCTATACACAGACAAAGATTCCCCGTGTAGCCTCTAAGAGGCTGTAGGGGCAAGTGCTGTTAGCAGCGAGTAGCGTCTATGCACAGACAAAGATTCCCCGTGTAGCCTCTAATAGGTTGTAGGGGCAAGTGCTGTTAGTAGCGAGTAGCAACTATACACAGACAAAGATTCCCCGTGTAGCCTCTAACAGGCTGTAGGGGCAAGTGCTGTTAGTAGCGAGTAGCAACTATACACAGACAAAGATTCCCCGTGTAGCCTCTAACAGGCTGTAGGGGCAAGTGCTGTTAGTAGCGAGTAGCAACTATACACAGACAAAGATTCCCCGTGTAGCCTCTAACAGGCTGTAGGGGCAAGTGCTGTTAGTAGCGAGTAGCGTCTATACACAGACAAAGATTCCCCGTGTAGCCTCTAACAGGCTGTAGGGGCAAGTGCTGTTAGTAGCGAGTGGCAACTATACACAGACAAAGATTCCCCGTGTAGCCTCTAACAGGCTGTAGGGGCAAGTGCTGTTAGTAGCGAGTAGCAACTATACACAGACAAAGATTCCCCGTGTAGCCTCTAACAGGCTGTAGGGTCAAGTGCTGTTAGTAGCGAGTAGCAACTATACACAGACACAGATTCCCCGTGTAGCCTCTAACAGGCTGTAGGGGCAAGTGCTGTTAGTAGCGAGTAGCAACTATACACAGACAAAGATTCCCCGTGTAGCCTCTACCAGGCTGTAGGGGCAAGTGCTGTTCGCGAGCAGCACCTATGAAGGCCGGCAGGCACACGAGGGGGTGAGTGGCCAGCACCACGCCCGTCCGCCTTTGTCTCCCCAGTGGCGATGTTAACGACACTCCACTGCATCAGGTACATACACTTGATGCCGAGTCAACCTAGGGGAGGCCCAGTTATCAGTTCAGAGATAATCGATATCACTGATGGTGGGTGGCCGTGAGCCGGATCGAACTCGGGTCTCTGGCGGCTTCGTAGCACAGTGCGCTAACCACTGCACCACCACTCCCCACACACACACAGTGTGCTAACCACTGCACCACCACTCCCCACACACACACAGTGTGCTAACCACTGCACCACCACTCCCCACACACACACACAGTGTGCTAACCACTGCACCACCACTCCCCACACACACACAGTGTGCTAACCACTGCACCACCACTCCCCACACACACACAGTGTGCTAACCACTGCACCACCACTCCCCACACACACACACAGTGCGCTAACCACTGCACCACCACTCCCCACACAGACACACAGTGTGCTAACCACTGCACCACCACTCCCCACACAGACACACAGTGCGCTAACCACTGCACCACCACTCCCCACACACACACACAGTGCGCTAACCACTGCACCACCACTCACACACACACAGTGCGCTAACCACTGCACCACCACTCACACACACACAGTGTGCTAACCGCTGCACCACCACTCCCCACACACACACAGTGCGCTAACCGCTGCACCACCACTCCCCACACACACACACAGTGTGCTAACCACTGCACCACCACTCCCCACACGCACACAATGCGCTAACCGCTGCACCACCACTCCCCACACACACACACACAGTGCGCTAACCACTGCACCACCACTCCCCACACACACACACAGTGTGCTAACCGCTGCACCACCACTCCCCACTCACTCACAGTGCGCTAACCGCTGCACCACCACTCCCCACACACACACAATGCGCTAACCACTGCACCACCACTCCCCACACACACACACAGTGTGCTAACCACTGCACCACCACTCCCCATACACACACAATGCGCTAACCACTGCACCACCACTCCCCACACACACACACACACAGTGCGCTAACCGCTGCACCACCACTCCCCACACACACACACAGTGCGCTAACCGCTGCACCACCACTCCCCACACACACACACAGTGCGCTAACCGCTGCACCACCACTCCCCACACACACACAGTGCGCTAACCACTGCACCACCACTCCCCACACACACACAGCGTGCTAACCGCTGCACCACCACTCCCCACACACACACACGCAGCGTGCTAACTGCTGCACCACCACTCCCCACACACTCACACACACAGTGCGCTAACCGCTGCACCACCACTCCCCACACACATACACACAGTGCGCTAACCACTGCACCACCGCTCCCCACTCACACACACAATGCGCTAACCACTGCACCACCACTCCCCACTCACACTCACAGTGCGCTAACCACTGCACCACCACTCCCCACTCACACTCACAGTGCGCTAACCACTGCACCACCACTCCCCACTCACACTCACAGTGCGCTAACCACTGCACCACCACTCCCCACTCACACTCACAGTGCGCTAACCACTGCACCACCGCTCCCCCCCCCCCCCCACACTCACACACAGTGCGCTAACCACTGCGCCACCACTCCCCGATGGCCCCTCCCCTCAAACCCCCCTGACGTCATCGCCGCCGTCTCGCGCCAGGCGGTGGAGGGGGGAACTGTGGAGGGGAGGGGGGGGAGACATCACGTGGGTGACTTGGGGTACACTTTGAAAATCACTCACGCGTTCTATATATTGGGTGCACTTTGTAAAAACTACCGTGGACTTCACTGGGTAGGCGTTGGGTGCACTATGAGAATGGGTCACGTGTCTATATCACTGGGTGCACTATGAGAATGGGTCACGTGTCAATATCACTGGGTGCACTATGAGAATGGGTCACGTGTCTATATCACTGGGTGCACTATGAGAATGGGTCACGTGTCTATATCACTGGGTGCACTATGGGAATGGGTCACGTGTCCATATCACTGGGTGCACTATGAGAATGGGTCACGTGTCTATATCACTGGGTGCCCTATGGGAATGGGTCACGTGTCTATATCACTGGGTGCACTATGGGAATGGGTCACGTGTCTATATCACTGGGTGCACTATGGGAATGGGTCACGTGTCTATATCACTGGGTGCACTATGAGAATGGGTCACGTGTCTATATCACTGGGTGCACTATGAGAATGGGTCACGTGTCTATATCACTGGGTGCACTATGGGAATGGGTCACGTGTCTATATCATTGGGTGCACTATGAGAATGGGTCACGTGTCTATATCACTGAGTGCACTACGGGAATGGGTCACGTGTCTATATCACTGGGTGCACTATGAGAATGGGTCACGTGTCTATATCACTGGGTGCCCTATGAGAATGGGTCACGTGTCTATATCACTGGGTGGACTGTAAGAATAGGTCACGTGTGTATATCACTGGGTGCACTATGGGAATGGGTCACGTGTTTATGTTAAAAGGGTGCAGTGTGAAAATGGGTCACGTGTAAACATTAAATGGTTGCACTATGAGAATGGTTCGAGTCACCTGATCGCTATGAAGGCTCGTGGCCCCGCCCACCAGAGACACGTGACCAGGATGGCCCCGCCCACCGCCAGCAGCGCAAGCAGAGAGGGGGGAGGAGCTTCCACGTGACCTGGGTCTGGAAGGAGATAGTGAGTGGAGTAGGTGAATGAGTGGGTGAGTGTGTGGGTGAATATGTTAGTGGGTGAGTGGGTGGGTGAGTGGGTAGGTGGGTGGGTGAGTGGGTAGGTGGGTGGGTGAGTGGGTAGGTGAGTGAGTGGGTGAGTGGGTGAATGGAGTGGGTGAATTAGTGGATGGGTGGGTGAGTGCATGGGTGAGTGGGTGAGTATGTGAGTGGGTGAGTATGTGAGTGGGTGAGTTGGTGAGTGGGTGAGTGAGAAGTGGGTGAGTGGGTGGGTGTGCGGGTTAGTTAGTGGGTGAGTGTGTGGGTGAATATGTTAGTGGGTGAGTGGGTCGGTGAGTGGGTAGGTGGGTGGGTGAGTGGGTAGGTGAGTGAGTGGGTGAGTGGGTGAATGCAGTGGGTGAATTAGTGGATGGTTGGGTGAGTGCATGGGTAAGTGCATGGGTGAGTGGGTGAGTATGTGAGTGGGTGAGTTGGTGAGTGGGTGAGTGAGAAGTGGGTGAGTGGGTGGGTGTGCGGGTTAGTTAGTGGTTGAGTGTGTGGGTGAGTGAGTTGGTGAGTATGTGAGTCGGTGAGTGGGTGGGTGAGTGAATGGGTAAGTGAGTGGGTGAGTGGGTCAGTGGGAGAATCAGTGAGTGGGTGAATGAGTGAGTGGGTGAGTGAGTGGGTGAGTGAGTAGATGAGTATTTGGTGAGTGGGTAGGTGGGTGAGTGTGTGGGTGAGTATGTGAGTGGGTGGCTGGGTAGGTGAGTGAGTTGGTGAGTATGTGAGTTGGTGGATGAGTGAGTGGGCAAGTGAGTGGGTGAGTGGATGAATGAGTGGGTCAATGAGTGGGTGACTGAGTGGGTGGGTGAGTGAGTGGGTGAGTGGTGGGTGAGTGGGTGGGTGTGCGGGTGAGTCGGTGGGTGGGTGAGTATGTTAGTGGGTGATTGAGTGGGTGAGTGAGTCGGTGAGTGAGTCGTGGGAGGTGGTGACAGGTAACGTACAGGACTGCCAGACAGGGTGTAGTATGGTGGATAGTTCGACCTCCCAGGCCATTTCGGTAACCATGAAGGCCGGTCTGGACTCACCTGGAAACGCGACGGCTGACGGGGCTCTGGTAAGCGACTCTGTCTCAGGGAGTAAACCCCGGACAGGTTCCGGGTGGATACCAAGTGGCCAGCGGCCCACCCCGGTGGGGCAGACGACTTGTGGTCCAGATGGCCAACGGGCGCATAGGCGGAGGAGCCGCTGGATATCCGGTTCTTCACGACGAGCCTTCCAATCGTCTTCGTTTCCTGCCTTGCTATTGGACCCAGGCGTGGCTCCTGGCCTAGCGCCACGCCGTAGCCAAGTGTGCACCGGCCCCCGCACGGACATCTGTGGTGCCACCGGAGCGGAGCAGCTCGGCCGGCGCTACCCTCTCCTCACACCCCCCACGAACT